GTGGTCTCCGGATCTGTAACTCCCGCAATGTCAACCTGTCCAACTTCGGATGCGAAATCTAGATGCGATCCGCACACCTCAAAGTCTGCCTCGAGCAACGGTGCTGGAGCTGGCTCAAGGCTGGCAAAGTACTGCTCTGGATATACAGGATTGTATTTGTACTGTTCCACATAAAGAGGAACCACTCGGCCAGAGCCGGAGTTCATTGTCGCTGTTGTTCCTGACATTGTGGTAGACATTTGTGTTGTCCCTCCTACACCGCTACCTTGATTCGACATGGTCGGGGTTGTTCCGCTGTTGTAGCTGGTTGTCGTCGAACCAGTTGTGCTGCTAGCTGTGGCAGAGGTAAATCCGCTTGCTGATGCTGCTGTCATCGGCGTGGCAGTTGTGGGCGGTGTCATTGTTGGTGACGCTGGGGTGTGGCTGTGGGTAGATGTTCCGCTGGCTGAACTGTGGTACGATAGCCGACGCGCACTACTGCTTGTCACTGTTACATCGTGGCCTTCAACATCCCTGTCCTGCAGTCGTCTTCTTCTGACCCTTTTATTGTAAAAGGTCTGTGGAGCAACGTAAGGTGAAGCCGAAACCCCGCCGTTTCCGTGTAGCGATTCAATGTAGCCCAGCGGAGGTGGCTTTGCTGAGCTTGGACCGCCCTCGTCTCTGTGCGATGGAGTGGCTGGATACGCCACGGTTCTAACACCAGCGTAGCTCGATACTACTGCAGGGTCTCTGTGAAGCATGTCTAGCTCTAGTTCTTGCGCAGTCGGAGGCACATTGGCTAATGCATCCGCAGGAGAGGAAAACAATTGCCCAGAGGGGATAGTGGATTGCGGTAAGTCCGGCACTGTGCTTGCAGAAATTTCCGCGGGTGGGATCACAGCCCCGCTGTTCGAGCGCACACTGTCGAGAACACTCTGCCGGTTTGCAGGGGAAAAGAATGTGGTCTCCGGAAACACGTAATTTGGGGTGTAGTCCGAGTAGTATTCGGTCACGTGCGAACTCCACCAATCACGTTGCGCAAATTGTGTGGGCTGTCGATGGATTGCACCGGTGTTGCCGCTGCCTTGTTGCCGCGAAAACTGAGAGGCACGTAATGCTAACCCCGAGTTCTCCATGCCGACTGGCCTTGCGTCCGCCGTCTCCGAGGCCGCTGTTCTCGCCACATCGTCGGTGTAGGAGTAGAACGATGGAGACTTCCTGGGGACTTGTTGGTCCTGCGGGAGAATGGCCGGCGGCAAGTCGCGGGCTGGGTCAAGGGTGTCTGTACTGCGGAAGACTATGCGGCCTGCAGCGGAGGCCCGTCGTTGCACTGTTAGCTCCTTGGCCGTGCTGGCACGGTAGTAGGCTTGCACGGGAGGAGACGGCACTATCGCGTTCGTGTCGAATTGCGGCCGCATGTTGTTCCACATCCGGCGTTAATCGTACAGCTGCGCGTCGTACGTGAAGGGATTCACTGCCTTACCTGCTTTGCCCACTCTGCGACTGTGTGCTCGCAAGCTGCACGTGCAAACGCGATACCGCCCGCCCTTTGCAATAAAGCCGGATGGCAGTGTCACCCCACTCGCCGTCGCAGAATTGACGACCACACTTTCGGCCATGGGATCCGGGAGGGGATCCAAGACCGGTGCTCCGTCTAGTTCGAGCGTAAAAGTCTTCAAAATGCCGTAGTTTGCTGTGTCCGTCAGCGTCATGTGCGTCCCGGGTTTCTGCAGTGCCACACCACGGAGCTCGATCGACTCTCCAAAATCGATCTCGTACCACAGCACTTTCTGGAGCTCGTGCTTCTTTGTAGAGTAGATGGCGTCGTTGGGCGGCCCGTAACCAGACAAACTCCCGTACAGCGTGCCCGATTTCACATCTTTGAGGCCCAGACGTCCAAGGATTGGCTCCGCAAGAGAAGGCAAATTTGGCGCGCACACGACTGCAGGCGTCACGATGGTTGTCAGCGTAGAACACTCTGGTCTGCGCATTCCGGTTGTCATGGAACGCAGCTCACGTGCTCGTTGAAATTGGCTTACATGTTCCGTGACATTTTTCACTTCAACACCGAGTTCCGCCGCGTCGTTGTCAATACGGAATCGCATAGCTTCGGATCCAACAGCGGATTGGCCGACGTTTCCTCCTACTTTTGTCCCAGAACTCAAGCAAGTCCGTGGGTCGCTGCTCTGCCCACCCTGCAACCGCGGCAAGTACGGATTTTGAAAACTGGCGTATCGAATCTCGTTGGCAACGTTGCGATCGGACACCAATCCGAAGTCCGTGATCCCACCAAAGCGGAAGGCTGGGTGAGCCTTCTCCCACGTAAGCGGAAAGATCCGAACGCGACGCGCAATTCGCGGGCCATCTCGGAAATAGTGGAAA